GCGTTGTTAGGCACAACCCCCTCCCCCCTTTTCTTAAAAAAAAAACAAACTACTACTACTTTTACTAAAAAAGGTGCTAATAAGAGCACAAATTGGTCTTGAAAAATTGTAAGTCAGTCTATAATATAGAGTTCCTAACGTAACAGATCGTTGCTGTGCAAGAAAAAGAACGATGTGAAAACAAATGTTTTTCGAACAACCTAGTATGAGAGCCTGTTCTAGTACACCCCCAAAACAAAATCCAGACTTTGTAAAAGAGCATAATAGGACCCCTTTAATAATTCAAACTCTGTACTTATTTAATGCATTTAATGGAATACATCATCCAAATAGGAAATTTGATGAAAAGTTACTCACCAACAGGCCATCCAAGATGTAGATGAGATTATTTCTTCATCTGAAAAAATTTGGAGAAATGTAGCATTACATCACTTGCTCCTCAATGGATCCTCTGGAGTGAATGGGTGCCGTCAGAGTTCAAACTGCTGAAAAAAAACAACACCACCATAATCCACAAGTAATCAACATGTCTCCAGTCCATCAATTAACATCTTATGAAGTGAAAAGCTGCATGTCTGTAATAAACAAATGTGTCATTATGATGTTAAACTCTTGCTTTCAGCTAAAATAAATGAGTTTTCTATCCATAACATTGGCTTCTCCAGTGAAAAAGTCATCTCATCTGAATTAGGAGAGAAAAATGCACAGATCAAGCACCGTTCACGAGAGAAAACGGTCCACACAGTTCTAAACCAATATATTGGTGGATTTTGATGTAACAGGACAACATGGATTTTTTCACTGGATGAGGCATTTTTATGCATTATGAACTTGTATTTTTGTGTGTTTATTACAATCATGCAGCTTTTCACTTCACAAGACCTTAAATTGTTAGACAGGAGTCATGTGGATTACTTGTGGAAAATTGTTTTTATCAGCTGCTTGGACTCTCATTCTGACGGCACCCATTCACTGCAGAGGATGCATTGGTGAGCAAGTGATGTACATTTCTCAATGTGTTACGATGAAGAAACAAACTTGTGAGTAATATTAAAGCAAATTTTCATTTTTTGGGTGAACTGTTCCTTTAATCTTTTATATGTAGGAAATTGCAAATAATATAAGTGAATACATATTCTGCTTTTGTTCTTTCAGAGAACCAGAGGACAGTGAGGAAGAAGGAGAGGATCCAGCACTGGACAGTTTAAGTCAGGCAATTGCTTTCCAGGTCAGTGAATATTATATACTCTACAGTTCAGTCATCATGCATTAATATTCCTAGTAAAAAAGGGTTCAAAGAGAAAAATACATTTTTGCCTATCATCAGCAGCAAGCACGCATTGAGGAGGAGGAGAAGAGAAGGAAGCAGGTCACAGAGGATGTGTCTCAAGCATCTACATCAGAGGACACCCACAAACCCAAGATCAAAAAGAGCGCCTACTTCAGTGACGAGGAGGAGCTCAGTGACTGACTCATACTTCTATGTGCTCGGAACACATCGCCTCTTCTCAACCACTCTTACCTATTAAGAAGGTCACATATTGATCTGAATTTCAAATTTTGTCAAACTATGTTGCAGAAAGTCAGAAAGAAAAAAAAACTCTTCTTACCTTCATCTGAGATGTGTGTTGTCATTGTATGCTCCTCATTCAGATAATTACACCTCCAAATATTGGGTATGTAGTTTTGGGATTTAAAGATCCTGCAGAAAAGTTCTGTAAATGTTTTTTTTGTTTTTTTTAATCTTGTAAATAAAGTGTAGTTTTGTGTATTTCACAATTACATTCTTGTTATTGTTCCAGGAAGCATGGGGAATAAACTGTTTTAAAATAACTTCCCGTCACCTTTGTCCTCGGCTCTCATTTTTTTCACCCACCGATACAAAGTCAAAAGTTATGAAAGTTCAATATACAAGTGTTTGCATTCTCAGTGAGAAAGACCTCAAAAAAATACAGCATATTTGAAATAAAATGTTTTGCTTCATATCATTAGCAAATGTATGTGTGAAATGTATGCACATTTCTACGATACAAATTCAAATGGGTAAAATAAGATTTTGGCCTGTCCCAAGTCAAAGATCTTGTTCTTGACTGATATCTGATGGTTTAACGGTTGATCTGTTGAACTGTAATCTAAAACCTGAGTGCATCAGTCAATCTCAACAATTCAGCTCTGTTATACGTGGTTATAACAAAAAAATGGGAAATATTTCCAACAACAATATTTGGTCCCAGTTGTGTAACAGCTTAATGTTGGCTGAAATTGCAACCCTGTTAACCATTCTGTTTGTCTCTTTGTTTTGTATTGTTAGTTTATTTTAATTTTGATGTTTGTTGTTAGAAAATAGCTAACAAAACCATCACACAAATCAAGCTTTTAAGCTGCATTTAGACCCAAAGTTTGGTAACATTACGGAAAATAAATAGAAAACAAAACCGCTCATATAAAAAGTTGTCACAGACCACTTGCTGAAACAGAAAAACAACTTTGTAGAGTTTAGGCACTACCCTTACAAAAACCATGGTTTTACTATAGTGTAACCATGTTTTTTTGGGCGTATTGATTGCCATTTGTATGACCACAGTTTTACTATAAATATGATCATGTTTAAACTATGATTAGTGTAGCAAAACGATGGCAAATTTGTAGTCTCCACAGTTTAACTATAGTCAGTAGTAATATCTTTCCTCTGTTTTTATCTAAAAGCATTGAGGATGCACTTATACTACTGATAATACCTACTCGTGTCATATATTGGAGGTTAAATACTTGTACTTGGTATCAGTATCATTATTTAATGCTTTCAATTATGTTCAAGTGGTTGCTAAAGACTAGTTTGAAAACATGTCAGTGGTTTGATTATTATGTGTAAAATAAAGCATTCTTATGGAAAAGCTCAAATTCAGCACAAACGTTTAAAGAATTAATGCTTGAAGACACAAATGTTGCCAAGGCTAAGCTGGAAATTTGTGAAGATGATGTTTCTAAAGTTGTGGTGGCAATTACGGCTGTTCGGCCATCGAAATTGAGTCATATCAATAGGAATCAGCGCAATCTGGAATTTTGCATTGGTGTAAAAGATTTGCCCATGCAGATTTCGCAACAGGTTCAAGTTGGTTATGCAAATATTCCACGTTGACCAACAAAAAGCTGATTGGTTTGGAAGTAACTTTGGTGTGCTGTGCTTTTTTTCGCTACTCTTTTGACAAAAGTCTTTATTTATTTTTTTGTTTGCAAAATTTCCCTGAAATGGAAAATTAGAAACCTAGAGTGATAACTTCAGAGTTGTTTATCCCGAATATTGGAGGATAAAGACTTGTATATGTTGATGTGGATGATAAATACCAGTTTGAAAACGTGTCAGTGATATGAGAGAATGAAAAGACACTGGCAAATGTAATATGTATAATGTTACGTTATTAAGGAAAGGTAAAAATTCAGATTCACAAGCAATTTGATTAAAGTGTCAAAAGCGTTAATGCTTAAACACAAACTTTGTCAAGGATAAGCAGGAACATTAAGGGTATTGCCGTTTCTAAAGATATGGTCACATTTATCGTTGTTTGCTGAACTTTCATGGTCAAAATCTAGTCTCATGAATAAGAATCTGGAATTTTGCACGAGGGCGAAAGATTTCACCTAGATTTCGCAACAGTTGGACATCAGTTTCGCCGTGTTGACCAACAAAAAGCTGCTTGGTTCGAAAGTGACTTCGGTGTGAGCTGTGCTTTCTTTTCGCTACACTATTGGCAATGGAGGTTTCACAGAAATAGGAACGAAATGGAAAATAACAGTACAAGAATACAAAGATTAATCAATTCAGAATTTTTCAATTAATCCTAGAGAATGAGGGGTCCTACACAATACTAGCATCTACTCCGCTTGCATGGGTCTCACAGATAGCGTCTTTCCCGTGGCAGTGATCCATGAGAGAGCGCTAATGACCTCATCAGAGAAGACATTTAATGGGCTCGTAGTTTCTCACCTTCATCTCATCTGTCATAAAAATCCTGTTTTGGAACAGTCAGCGACTGAGTCGGCAGTCAGTTATTTCCCTTATGTCATTAAGATGAGATCAGGTCAGGAAGTAAAACATTCTTCATCTGCGTTTCAGAACATAAACGCACACTAAAAGCAGATGAAGATGATGATGATGATCATGACAGACCTCAGCTCTCAACAACAGCGGCAGATAACGATCATCTTTCTTTAGGGAGATTGTTTATAAAGGCTTAATTATCTTTCGAGTTTCAGATCCCATTACCACCGCTGAATTAAAGTATTATTACAGCAGTTATTTAAAGCCAACTAATGTTCATTTGTGGTGCATAAATTGTGTGTGAGAGGGTGGTGGATTTTTATGTGGGGGTGGGGTGCTGTCACTCGTCCAGGCCACCACAGCAGCTGGCGTCCAGACGGCCTGAACTCATTTGCATTCAACGGCTTAATCAAGAATGCTGTCATCGGAAGAGGCATCATCACATCAGGATGCACACACACACACACACGGACTCCCATGCCCATAAATAAACCCGTGATTGCACATCTGCCCTGTTATAATGCCTCTGAGATGGCCACAAATGATGGGGTTTAATGATGATGTCCTCTTGATTGTGTGATCCTCGCAGGTCGTTCATTTATGAAGAAAGGAGAGCTTCTTGACACGCTGCTTGTTCACTCTTCTTCTG